TCCTGCTCCTCTGATGCTGCTTGGCCTGCTGCGTTCATCCAGCTCTAGCCCTTGTTATCTCAGATAAGATTTTGAGTCTGGTATGAGTATTCTTTAGAACTGGAAAGTCATATTGGACTTGAAATGTTAACTGTTCTCTCTCCACAGATGCTTTCAGACTTGCTGAGTTTCTCTGGCATTTTTGTTTATTTCAGATTTCCAGCGATCTGCAGTAGTTTGATTTGATTATAGTGTGGGACCATTGTAGAGAGTTTATCGTATAGACTGTTGATCTCTTAATTAGCTAAGAAAATAATTTCCCTGCATTTGGAAGTGTGGAATGAAGTAAGCACTGCGAAGTTATTGCAAACTGCTTCTCAATACAGGAAAGTTACTGAGTAAGTTAAGAACTTAGACACTATTAGTTGCAGTCAAGTATTAAACAGTGGAATTGAGTAAGAGATCGCCTGGACCTGATATCTTGATTAGATACTTCATTTCCTCAAACTCTGGCTATTCTTTCATCACAATCCTCCTTGCCTGCAAAAATTATTATTCCCCCATTACTGGATGAGCTCTGAGTTAAAATTGTCATTGACTTCATGTTTTCCTATTGGCCCTCATTTGTTGAAATTAACACTCCTCTGTGGTCTTTTCTTTAATCTAAATCCCATCTGGGACAGCAAGAGATGTATGGCAAGTCCTCATGCAGCAAATTCCTGATCTCAAATCGCCACTGGTGAACATAGCTGAGGCATGCTCCCATAGAGAGAAAGGAGAAAATCAGAAATGCTCTCGAGGTCACTGTCATGCACCATTCATCAACTGCTTTGTCACTCTGAGAGAAATCTCTTCCCAGAAGGGTAGAGTGCAGGGTTCAGGAAGGTTGTAGGAGGGCTAAAAGGGAAAACAGTAAAATAATATTGTTAGTAAATAAGTTGTTACTTTGGCACTTGCTTGCAATCAGCCTCCATTCAGTATAATAATTTTCTGTGCCAATTATGCTAAAGTCTTTGAATTGAATGAATTTTGATCTGCGGATTTAACCCTTTTTAGTAGGAGGGTGAATTTGCTTTTCATGCAAATAAAGGCAAGACAGCAAGCAAGCTAGTCAGCATCTCCACATCTTATTGTATACTGACTGCTTTCCTTCAAATTTCTGTCTGTCTTGGCAGGGGAACATTCTGGCTTTGATTTGGTATCTCACCTTATTTACAACAGAGATTTGGTGCTCCAACGTACTGCCTCTGTAGATCTCATGGATTTGGAAAAAAGTGCAATAATAAGTAACAGCATAAAAGAAGAGGGTTCCGAGTTATCAAAATATAGGCCTACATTTAAAGATAATTGGACTTGGAATTCCATAAAGAGACAAGTCCGCTTTTGCCAATTTCTACCACTGACGGTAGAAGCAGGTTTACCAGAGAAGAAGTGGGGTATATGTCCAACCATCTTCTTAATGGGCTGGTGCCAAAATTATTCCACCAACCTACCTGAAGGTTTTCCCCACATCTGGTACCAAGAGAGATTCGATGTTGAAAACGCCCATTGGCACTTGAAGCGGCGCTTTGAGAACGACGAAACTGAAAAACAATTACAATGAGGTCTTCTTGTCTAATGCAGGCCAGCTGCAGAAGAGTCTCTGAAACTGGCAATGCCCAGGGAAGGCACCTTTTACCAATGATGCTGGAAGGAATGGCTACCGCACTCTTCCGGTCAGTGACCCATACTTACTCCTAGTAGGACTTGATGTGGAATGAAACAATATTCTGGATAACACTAAAACCTGGAAAATCTGCATTATTAACTTGATGCCTTAATGAATTGTTAGGCTCATCAAAATGTGGGCCATTGGTGCTGATAAAATTGGACAATGCAGCACCTTTCCAAATTCATGCACTCGTTATCAGCATTAAGCATTCCCAGGTCGGCTTATAACATATTAAATTAGTATAACTATGAACTACATGAATTAGGGAAGAGGCTGCATTAAGCACTTCAAGTCAGTTTCTAGTAAAGGCTGAGGCAGAGTAAAGCTCCCTTTACCCTTCCTGAAGAATGTGCTATAATTCCAATCCATTTCCAACACAAGTCAACTTTTATGATCCCTGAATGACTCGGCAAGTTTTAGTGCCAAATTGAGCCAAAAGGATGGGTTATGATGTGATGTGATCATACGTGATCAACAGAAATTGGGTTGACGTTGCCAAAAATTGTGGAATGTGGGATCTTTAGACAATAGATAGAAAAGTTTCCATCTCCGTGTTGATTTGCAACCCAATTCCTGAGGTGTGCTATCCAAATCCATAAACAAAAGAAACCTATACAGCACTGTTAATTAAAGTAGAAGGAAGGTATTAGGGAGTACACTCAATACATACAAGACAATCATCTAATTAGTGTTTCCAGAAATGCCTGTTTCAGTGATGGTACTGCACCATCAAAACTCTTCTGTGCATGATTTTCAACCAATAGCAGCACAATGCTTAGCTTGATCTGGGTGCTTCATCAATATTGTTGTGGACATTACTGGAATATAGTAAAGGATATGGATTTAGAGGGAGCCCAGCAAACTGGATTTACAAGCTGTTTACATGGCAGAAAACAGGGAGGAGGAGTTAATAGGAGTATTTCAGAGTAGTTGGGATTGGTTACTGGCTCTGTGGGGAAGGCGGGAAGGTCAATTCTAGAGCCATTTCTATTAATCGTTTGTGTCAATGATTTGGAATCATAGGGATGGTGTTAAAAGTCACAGAAAATGCCCAACTCAAAGATACAATTCCTTTGAAGACCAAAGGAAGCTGCAAAGAGACATTGATGAGATGTTAGATGAACTAAAATGAAATTAACTGAAAGTATGAGGTGAAAGAATAATATCAATGGCAGTAGACTGAAGTGTTGTGGCAAGGTAGAAGGATTTAAGTTTACAGGTTAACAAGACAGGAAAGACTGCACTCTAGCTGATAGCATTATCACAATAGAAATTGAGGTGTAGGATAGAAAGTCTAAGAGTTAATGATAAGTCTATATAAATGTTGAAAAAAGCCTCAGTTGGTATCCTGAATGCAGTGTTGACTTCCTCACTATAGGAGGACTATTAATACTTTAAAGATGGTACAACCCAGATTTACTTGGATACTCTCTGGTAGAAGGAAATACAAGCATGCAGGAAGACTTGAAACATTGAGACTTTCTTGATAGAACAATACAAGGTTATGGACCAATAAATATACAATTAAAATAATGAAATGATACAACAGAGGAGATTGTTTTCTGTAGGTGATGGGCCAGAAATACAGGATTAAAGTCAAAATATTGACAACAGCAAAGAGGAGAAACTTTTTTTAACAAAGGAAATTGAGAGGAATTCATTTCCAGGATTGTGGGTGAGCTAGGTCAACAGAAAAATTAGTCTGAATAGATGAATGCATCAGAAAAGGGTTGGAGGAGGTTCAGGAACAAAATGCGCAAGTGGGATTAGAACTGAAATTCTAACTTGGTTGAGCTGAATGGCTGGTTCCACTCTGAAACATCTGTGAATTTTTATGTAAATTGGTCCATTTGCCAAGCTTTGAATTCGGGGCGAAGGAACTCTGATCAAAACTTCGGAAGGCTTTCTTTATTCCATCCTGTGTTACGTTTGTGTCTGGGTTCTTTAGCTGCTGTTAAGCTATTGCATTGACCAATTGCAGGGAAGCCCCACCCATCCCCAAAATGAATGTGTACAAAACACGCAAAAAGATACATTTGCTAAGAAGCAAGTTTTCAATATTATAGACTGATTTGTAAAAATTCAATATACTTATTGCACACTTCCATTCCTGTTTTAACTTCAAATAATGGTCTAACTCTTTTTCTAAAATAATATGGAAGGAAATTCAGAAAGTGTGAGGTATTACTTTTAATACTTGAGAGAATTTTACTGTCTTAAATGTGAATTTGAAAATGTAGTCTACATTAAAAATATTCCTCCACACTTTCCTTCTGCAATAGTGAAAAACAGAACCACATTTGAGTTTGAAATCCATTGATCTATTCTTTGACAAGTCAGGAATGAGGAATTGTTAAGAATTTTCTGTTCTTAATAGTGAAATATAACAATGATTCTTATTACAGACAAATACTAAGTTATAGTCATCCCAGATTATCTGATATTGCTGTTTGAGGCCAACCCAGTGAAAATCAGAAGCCTGTTCCAGAAAACTGAAAGGATCACGTTCTGATCCAGTGTGCATTCCGCCTCTTCATTTAACCCCTCATTTGGTTCCATTTCTTCTGAATCAGCATAAAAACTGCTGAATCGTTCATTTATTATCTTTTAGCACTCGTACACTAGCTGGGAGGAGTTTAGAGAACAAAAGATCCAAGTATCTATGGTACAATTATTCATAATGTAGAGTTTTCCTCAGGGATGAATGTTGCTTCTTTTTAAGTTTTGGTTCATGAATTTCAAGGACAGTTTCTGGTATTTGAAAGCTTTATCCTGATCGAGTAGGTACTTAGTATTTGACTTAAATCTTTCACTTACGTGGTGTGTGGCTGTACTCAATCATAACAGAACACACCCTCTGATATTCAGTACCTTCATCTACACTTTTCATTTGTCCTTCACTTCTTACCTCAAAGGTTGAGAACTGCTCTCCCAAGTAGGGTCTACCAATGTTGTGGGTCGGACTGCAGAGGATGATAAACTGTACACCATCTCAAGATCAGGAATACTTGCCTGTGTAGTGCTCCACTGAGCACTTTAATGTGGGGGAGCATTATTATACCCAAAGGGCAGCAAGGATTTAAAAGAATCACTGCAGCAACTTCAGAGTGACAGAAAGAATACCAATTCAGAAAACTGAGAGAGTGTGTGTAGAGGGTACAAGCTAGCATCGGGTGGTCTTGGAAGTGGAAGAAGCCAAAAAGTTAAAGTGATGGAGTGTCTAATTATTTAAACATGAAAAATTGACCAATTGCTAGGCTTTCACACTCTACGTGTGGAATATCAACCTAATTAACTATCCATTATAGGAGATCCTGACATACCATGCACAAGCAAAGAAAACTAATTGACTCACCTTTCTGTCACAGTCCTGAAGACCTCCAGAATTGTTCAGAAACATCACTTTCAGGGGTTGCATTAACTTGGCAATTGTTGCTGCGACACCCAAGGAATTTAGAAGCACTAATTGTCCGTCAGAGGTCTCTCCCACAGAGCAGATGATAGGAATGTGACCAGACTCTAGGCTCCAATTTAATAGATCTTCCTCCACCGATATTACGTTCCCAAAACTACATGATAAAAATCAGTGTCAGTCCAACTGCTATTGTAGCTGTCTTTGGCAGTCAAACAACATAAGAAATTGAAGTAGCCCAGTGGCCCTAGGATCACTATCATTGCAAAACGCACTTAAGATGATTAAATGCTTTTATAAAATAAATGGGTGTAAACTGTTTCCTCTGGAGAGGAAATTCAGAGCTGGTGAGCAGGACCTTGAGAGAGTGAGAGAGAGAGGGTGTGTGTGAGAGGGAGGGAGGGAGTGAGTGAGTGTGTGAGAGAGACAGAGTGAAAGAGAGTGAGAAAGAGGAGAGTGATAGAGGGGGAGAGAGAGGGAGTGAGAGTGTGTGACAGAGAGAGAGACAATGTCAAAAAGAGGGTGTGAAAGGGGGAGAGGGAGCGGGGATGGGAGAAGAGAGTTTAAAGTATTGGCAAAAATCTGTAGCTCGGGTTGTGGATGAGATTGTTGACTTGCTCGCCGAGCTGGCTTGTTTTTGTCCAAGTATGAGAGAGAGTGTGAGAGAGACAGTGTGTGAGGGAGAGAGTAAGAGAGAGACAGAGACCATTCAGCTGCAAAGCCTGGAAGCACTTCACACAGAGAGCAGGGGAAATCCAGAACTTCGTCTTCCAAAATGCTGGAAGGACTAGGTCAATTGAGAGTTTACAAGTGAAAATTGATACATTTTTGTTAGTCAAGAGTATTACATTATACAGAACTAATTTGGATAATGGAATTAAGATACAGATCGGTTATAATCCAATTGAATTATGGAAGAGGATTGAGTGACTGAATTGGTTCCTCTTGCTCCTAAATTTTAACTAAGACCATTAAAGCAAAAATCATGCAGCCTTATAATAACCTTTTTAGGCTAGATAGTCCTTCTGTTGAATGTGAGTGACATCTTTTTTTGACATATAGTCCTATATTTTCCCAAAAATAACTTAAAGTGCTATAGGGAAGGAAATTCTGAAAATCTCATCTGGTCTGACCTAGATGTGACCATAGACCCACAGCAACATGCTTGACTCTTAAGTGCCCTCTGAAATAGCCAAGCAAGCCACCCGGTGGTATCTAACCAACACAACGTTTGATAAAAAGGAATGAAACTAAACAGACCACCTGGCATCAAACAAAGCACCAGAAATGACAATGACACACACAGCCCTGTTAACCCTGCAAAGACTTTTCTGCTAGTATCTAAAGGCTTGCGACAAAATTGGGAGAGCTGTCCGATGGACTAATCAAACAACAAACTGTTATAGTCATTGTCACAGAATAACACCTTCCAGCCAATTTACCAGATCCCACCTTCACTATCCCCAGGTATGTCCTTTCTCACCGAACAAACAGACTCAGCATAGGTGGGAGCTCAATGGCTACAGTTAGGAAAATACTGCCCTGCGAGACCTCGACATTGACTCCAGACCTCATGAAGTCATTAAGTCAAACATGGGCAAACAGACAACCCCCCTCCTCCTACCCACCCACTCTTGGAAGAAGTATTGAGCGTGGCAAGGGCAGAGAATCTACCCCGAGTAGGAGGTTGAGGTTGGTTGGCTCGCCGAGCTGGTTTGTTGTTTCGCAGACATTTCGTTACCATGCTGGGTAACATCATCAGTGCAGCCTCCAATGAAGTGTTGGTGTGTTTTCCCACCTGGTTTTTAAACTCTGGGGTCCGTTGAGATGGATTGCCTCACTTCCAGTTTTCCTTCGTAGTGGAGTGTATGTGAGGTCGGATTCTATGTGTTTATTAATGGCTTTCTTCGTGGAGTGCCAGGCTTCTAGGAATTCCTGTGCCTGTCTCTGCTTAGCCTGTCCCAGGATTTTGGTGTTGTCCCAGTCGAAGTGGTGGTTCTCCTTATCCATATGGATTAAGATGAGTGAGTATGGTCGTGTCTTTTTGTAGCCAGTTGGTGTTCGTGTACCCTTGTTGTTAGTTTCCTTCCTGTTTGTCCGATGTAGTGTTTCTCACAGCCTCTGCAGGGGATCTTATAGATAACATTGGTCCTGTCCACGGCGGGGAATGGGTCTTTAGTTCGGGTGAGCAGTTGTCGTAGGGTTGATGTGGGCTTGTGTGCCACTCTGATGCCCAGCGGTCATAGGAGTCTTGTGGTTAGTTCCGATGCGTTCCCGATGTAGGGTAGTGTGATGAGTGTGTCAGGGTGTGTAGTATCTTCCTGATGTTGTTCGTGTGGGGGACTTCAATGTCTATTATCAAGAATAGCTGAAAAGTGCCACTACTACCTGCGTCAGCCAAGTCCTAAAGGACATAAAAACGGAAAGAAGTGCAGATGCTGGAAAAGCTCAGCAGGTCTGACAGCATCTGTGGAGAGAAAGCAGAGTTAATATTTAAGGTCAAGTGACCCTTCCTCAGGACTGAGTTCTGGTTTAGAGGGTTGGAGCTATAGGGAGAGGCTGAACAGGCTGGGGTTATATTCCCTGGAGCATCAAATGCTGAGGGGTGACCTTATTAGAGGTTTATAAAATCATAAGGGGCATGGATAGGGTGAATAGCCAAGGTCTTTTCCCCAGGATAGGGGAGTCCAAAACTAGAGGGCACAAGTTTAAGGTGAGAGGGGAAAGATTTAAAAGGGACCTATGGGGCAACTTTTTCACACAGAGGGTGGTGTGTGTATAGAATGAGCTGCCAGAGGAAGTGGCGGACGCTGGTACAGCTACAACATTTATAAGACACCTGGACAGGTACCTTGAATAGGAAGGGTCTAGAGGGATATGGGCCAAATGCTGGCAAATAGTACTAGATTACTTCAGGATATCTGGTTGGCATGGACAAGTCGGGCCGAACGGTCTGTTTCCATGTTGTACATCTCTATGACTCTATGACATTTTCTCTGAACTCTCCCTAAAGGACATAGTTGCTTGACTGGGCCTGTGGTAGGTGGTGAGGACCACCAACAAGAGGGAAGAGTATACTTAACCTTGTCCTCTCCAACTTAACTGTAGCAGATCCATCTGTCCATGATCACGTCAGTCGGAGAGACAAGTAGGAGCCAAAATTGGAAAGGATGTTTACTCTTGTGAATGAGATCAGAAAACTAGGGGACAGTGTTTTAAAATTAGGGGTCACCCTTCTAGGACAGATATGTGGGGGGTTCTTTTTCTGTCAGAGGGTTGCAAATCTCACCTGGTCTGGAACTCTGACTTATTGGAGCTCTCTGATTGAGAAGGCTGTGGAGGGAGAATTGCTGTTTTTTTTAAAAGCCAGAGGCAGATTGATTCTCTTGCTTCACTGGAATAAGGTTATTGGGGGTGGGTAGGAATGTGGAATTCAGAACATAAACAGATTAGCAATGATCTTATTGAATGGCACCACAGGCTTGAGGGGCTGAATATCGTACAACTGCATATGTTTGTGTTTATACATTCACTAGACATTCCTTGTGGAGACGAAGTTCTGACTTTATATTGAGGATACCCTTCATTGCATTGCTTAGCACTAGCCTTGTGCTGAATGGGAGAGATTTTGAACAGATCTAACAACTCAACCCCTAAAGTTCAAGAAGCACTGTGGTCATCAGAAGCAGCCCGTACTGTATTTGACCACAATCTGGAATGTCCGAACATATCCTCCACTCTACCATTAACCACCAAACGAGAAGATCAACCATGGTTCAAAGTAGAGTGCAGGAGGGCATACCTAAAAATGAGACATCTACCTGGTAAAGCAGCATGGGACTACTCATTTGCCAAGTGAGAAAAACTGTATGTGGTAGACAGAGCTAAGCAATCCTAAAGCCAACAGCTCATTTCTAAGCTCTTCAGTCCTGCTGTATTCGGTCATGAATGACGGTGGACTATTAAATGACTCATTGGAGGTGCAGGCCCCATATCTATCCTCATCTTCAATGATGGGGGGAGTCGAGTAGATAGAATCATAGAATCCCTATGGATTCCACCTACAAGGTGGAAGCATTGAGTCTACACCGACCTTCTAAAGAGCATCCCATCCCTGTAACCCTTCATTTCCCATGGCTGACCCACCTCGCCTGCACATCCCTGGACACAATGGCCAATTTAGCATGGCCTAGCCACCTACCCTGCACACCTTTGGACTCTGGGAAGGAACCGTAGCACTCGGAGAAAACCCACACAGACAAGGGGGGAATGTGCAAACTCCACACAGACAATCGCCCGAGGCTGGAATCAAACCTGAGTCTCTGGCACTATGAGGCAGCAGTGCTAATCACTGAGCCACCATGCTGCCCATCAATATAAAAGACAAGGCTGAAGGATTTGTCTGTCTTCAGCCAGACATGCCAAACGGATAATCCATCTCAGCTGCCTCCTGAAGTCCCCAGCACCACAGATGCCATCTTCAGTCCATTTGATTCATTTCGTTTGACATCAAGAAATGAGTGAAGGTACCAGATGCTGCAAAGGCAATGGGGCCTGACAACATTCCCACAATAACACTGAAGACTTGTGCTCCAGAATTAGCCATGCTGTTCCAATACTGCTACAACACTGGCATCTATCCAACAATGTGTAAAACTGCCCAGGCATGTTCTGCCTACAAGATGCAGGACAAATCCATAAGGCTACTCTCAGTCATCAGTAAAGTGATGGAAAGTGGTATCAACAGTGCTATCAAGTGGCACTTGCTCAGCAATAATCTGCTGACTAATGCTCAGTTTTTGTTCCACCAGGACAACCAAGCTCCTGACCTCATTACAACTTTGCTCCAAACATGAAAAAAAATGAAATCCACAGAGGAAGTGAACTGCCCTTGACCTTAAGGCCACATTTACCAGAATGCAGCATGGAGAAGCCCAAAACTGGAGTCAGTGGAATATTCTGCACTGGCTGTAGTCCTACCTAACACATTGGAAAATTGCTTGTGTCTGTTAGAGGTCAATAATCTCAGTCCAATAACATTATTGCATGAGGGTGGTGTCCAAGGCCCAGGCATCTGAAGCTGCTTTTTCAATAACCTTCCTGCTATCAAAAGCTCAGAAGTGTGGATGTTTGCTAATGATTATACAGTGTTCAGTACCATTCGCAACTCTCAGATACTGAAGCAATCTGTGTCTAATTGCAATAAGACCTGGATAACATTCAGGCTTATGTTACAAGTGGCAAGTAACATTCATGCCATGGAAGTGCCTACAGTGATCAGTTCCAAAAGAGAATCGAACTATAGCCACTTGATGTTCAATGGCATTATCATCACTGATTTCCCCAGTATCAACAAGGGTTACCATTGACAAGAAACTGAACTGGGCCAGCCATATAAAAACTGTGGCTACGATAGCAAGTCAGATGCTGGGAATTCTGAACTGAGTAACTCACCTCCTGGCTCCCTAAAGCTTGTCTACCAATAGTCAATAGTGTAATGTAAGCCTCTTCAGTTGCCTGAATGAGTACAGCCCCAACAACATTCAAGAACCTTGATACCATCCAGGATGAAAGCAGTCTGCGTTACTGGCATTCTGTCTAAAACCAACAGTGCAAAGTGGCAGCAGAGTGTATCATCTATAAGATGCACTGCAACAACTTAGCAAGTCTCCTCCAATAGCACCTTCTAAACCTTCAACTTCTACCACCTCTACAAGGACAGCAGATACATGGGAACACCCCCATCTCCAAGCCCCCCACCATCCTGACTCAGAATTACATTGCCATTTCTTCACTGTCACTGCGTCAAAACCCTGGAGCTCCCACTTGACGGGATCGTCTGTACCTACAGCATATGCATTGCAGTTGTTCAAGAATGCAGATCACCACCACTTTCTCAAGAGCAAATAGAGATTGCCTCAGCCAATGATCCCCACATCCCAGAAATTAATAAAAAAAACTAGTAAATAAAATCAGAGCTCCACTGCACTCCTGAATAGAGGAGGCATTTTCCTTCCATTCCCAATGTTGATGTATTGACTGTTTTTTGTTGGGGGGGAGGGGGTGGCCAGAAATGGGACGACAATTCCCTTTGTAACGAAAAATGCAGAATGCCTATTCTTCTCTATAAGAATGATTTACTAACAAAATCAGATACATTGTTGCAATTCAAAGCTTCAATTTCTATGATACTGAAATCTTAGTTAGCAGAGAAAATATCCACGTTTCTTCATAACGCAGGAATTGTACTGCCAATATTTTGCAGTTTAGCTACAACAGCTCAGCACCTGCCACAGCTTACTGGTACTAATAGAGCATGTGTGCATTGAGAGGCACTCAGCGCCCAGTTGTGTGAGGTAACAGTTCGATGATATGGTCTTGGTTCCACGAGTCAGGAATACTCCTTAGCGCCTCCCTTGCCTTTATCAGCATTACTAATTTTAGAGCTAGGGAAACTAGATCACTGTCTGAAAATTGATCATTTTTGTCTGATTTGTGTTGTATGCTATGCAATTTACAGTGAAACAAGAGTGTGTAATTTGCCAGCTCGTTAACAATGATATCATAGAAGTCATTGATCTTAGTACATCACTGGCACTCAATGCAATTCTTGATGTTCCAATCTATGAATCATTGATGCTTTAGTATTTAACACTCTTGACTTTCGTACTAAAAGTTATATGTACCTGTTGTGAGACAAAGTCTCCTCTGCTCTCAGTAAGGAACCCCCATTAAAAAACGGCATCGTGACAGCTGAGTTCCTGTGTAGTGCATCAGTTAGGATCCTGCAGTTCTTGAGTAATAAGGATTTGATTTCAGTGAATGAGTCTGATTGCTCTCCAGCCTGCTGACATGATAATCCTATCACAACCACAGGCTTCATGTCCATTCGCTGCAGGAACGCCAGGCCGAATGCCAGACTGGATACCATCTCTTTCGAACAAAAGATCTCTTCATCCACCTGACAGACATGAAGATATGTTAGCTAATACCACAAATTACTTCTGACTGCAATAGATCTATTTTCAGATCATCTACATACTTAGCTGCCACTTCCCATAGCTTCTTGATAGGGTTTTTTTTAATACCATGTGTCATATGAACCCTGGGTCAAGTCGAGTATGTCCTTCTGTAGCCTGCCTCAAAATCCATCGGAGTCATCCAGAATAAAACCCATGTCCTTGCTAATTTAGTTCTATTGAATTTTTAAAAAGAACTAGACGCAGACACTTGGACCTGGATATTTTGAGGAGTTGGATTGCCACTTTGTTACTGTTTTAATAGTGACACTGAGCTCCTAGTCAGGAATTCCAATCCCAAATCCTTCAGAAACATGGAACAAAGCTGAAACAAAT